TCGCCTTTAGTATGCTTAATTTTCTGTGATTTCTTTTTTATTACAAAATATCAGGAAATTTCCAGTATAATCTTGTGATTTTTGCATTAGAGTTGTTCGATTTACGGGCAAGACAATATCAGCAATTGGTTTAGGTGAATTTGACCCTATTAAAGATATATAACAACATGCTGTTTGATTTCTTTCCCTTTTTAAGTTTTAATGTTTGCAATTTGAGTAATTGAAGTAATTTTTTTTAAGGTCTGGAGACATCTGTTTCTGATTCAAATGACAATGCATTGTTCTTGAAAGAGGCTAAGATTACTATAAAATCTCCAAGCCAAAATAACATACAGGTGAAATAAGAGATTAGTTGTGCATTAGGTCAAGTCCTCGTGGCTTGGCTCAGTATGTCAATCACATCTATGTCGATTGAAAACTTAAAAGACTGGTTTTAGCTTATTGCATTTGTCTTTGGCACTTTAAGCTTATTTGAAATTAAAACGTTAAGAAACTAATATGAGCTCTATAGTTTTTGGCAGAAGGTAATTTCACTTATTTAGTATAATTTCAAGGATGGTAAGTTTACCATGATTCTATTGCCTTTTACCTTTTTCATTTGCATGTATCTGTTTTTACTTTATCAAAATTTCTGTGATCTTTGATTAACAAGTAAGAGTGGACTTGATTGCCAGTGAAATACAGAAGGTACTCGATAAGATTTTGGCAGATTTAGCATGAATGGCAACACCAGTTCATGGATTTAGTAGACAGAAAGGAGGTAATTAGTTGAAGTTACATCAAGTTCATTTTATGTCACCATCTAGTGACCAAATTCAATACTTAATTAAGTTCCTCCTCGTTAGTGACAATGTTATGATTCTGATTATTTATTTTTTCAAGTTCTGACTCAAAAAGCATATAATTTTCTATGTGAAATTATGAGTCCTTGTTGATATATATAGTGGCCAACCATTCTCATGCATTCTTTGGCACCTATAGTTTTGGAAATAGTATTTTTTACCTAAAAGTATCTTATCTGGAGGATGCATTTGTTTTAATAAAAGGTCAATTGCTTAAATATGGTACGACGCTTCCCTCGGTGAAAATCATGGATTTTTCTAGAAACAATTTATCAGGAGAAATTCCCTCAAAAATAACTTATATCCAAGGGTTGCAATCATTGAATTTATCATACAATCTTTTCCCTGGAAGGATTCCAGAAAAGATTGGCAACATGAGAATGTTAGAATCAGCTGATTTCTCTATAGGAACAAATTGTCTGGCTCAATTCTGGAAAGCATATCAAGCTTGACTTAGCCATTGTGGTATTTATAGTATTACATATTCCATTGGGTAGCGTTACTCCGCTATTTATGTAACCCATTTGGATACGCCGCCCACCTTCATTTTCCACATCCGCGCTTGAATCACTTTGTTTTCCTTGGTCTATCAATTATCTTCCACCCACTCTTATTCACATTTAAAATTTGGCAGGCAATAAATTAAAAATTTAGTAATAATGTGGAGGAAGAAGATGAAGAATAGTGTAATGCTGATTCTAACAAACTATGCAAATATGGTTCCATTTCTCTAGATAAAACCATTGCACTTCTTCAATTTCAGATTTGACCTTTAAGCTTTGAGCGGCTGTGCAAGGGTTGCTTTCTACTTGCATTGTTCTTTTTCTTTTGTTTTTTCCCCTCTGAAAATTGAAAAATTAGCGCAGAATTGTGCCGACCGAAACAACCAATACGTACCGGCTATACCGATTGGTGCTTACGAAGATTAACAACCTTGTGTTTAGGTTCCATCCGATCTGTGAGGAAATTAATGACAGGCGTATACAATGGGTTGGCTGAAATATACACCAGATCGAGTATGGAAGACTGTGGACTAAGAAAATGAATTATTTGAACCGAGACAAGGACTTGAAATGAATGCTACAAATCCGTACGGAAACAAGAAATTTTTTTAAAAAAATACCACATTTATCGTTTAAAAATAAATTTGGACAAGGACTTGAAATCATGTCTCCATCTCCGCGTATGTCTGTCCCAACTTGTTTGACTCCGGTGTCTTGATTAAGGACAATTCACATCTGGCAAAAAATAAAAAAATAACGATGGAGGAGTCAAAAATTTAAAATTAATAATATAATATAAATTATATTATTAAATTAATTAATATATATAATATTATAAATTTTAAAAAATATAAAAATTAATTATTTAAAAATAAAATATTTATTTTTTTTATTTTTAAATAATTTAAATGATATAATTTATATTATATTATTAATCTTAAATTTTAAATTTATTTATCATTATTTAATAAAAAAATAATAAATTGACATGGAGGCAGTTGCACCTCTCTTTCCAACGTAGCTCCCTTGTGTCTCCACCGCGTATATCTGCCCCCTCCTTGGTTTGATTCTGGAGTCTAAACTCAGGTAAATTCACGTTTGGTTGAAAAAAAAAAAAGGTTAATTGACAAGGAGGCAATTGCACCTCTCTTTCGGACGCAGAAAGCACTTTATGTCTCCATCGCCGCGCGTGATTGTCGCCTATCTTAAATCCTGACCGTCAATCCTCGTTTGTGAATCAAATAAGCTTTTACTAGGTCATATCACAATAAGTCTACGTGCGCTTAACTTGCTACCAAAGCTAATTTAATAAGAAAAAGCCTTTTATTATAAGTTTCTCTAATTTATACGTTTTTATATACAAGATGAAAATATATTAAATATATTTTTTTATTATAAATTTTTATTTAAAAAAATTAAAATTAATTTTTAATTTATCAATTATTTAATTAAATT